CTCTGTTCTGTCTCTGTCTCTCTCTCTTTCTCTGCCTATCTGTCTCTCTCTGTCCTCTTCTCTTCCTCCGTCTTCTCTTCTTTCCCTTCCTCTCTCCCTTGTCGTTCTCCTCCGTTTTTCCTCTCTCTCTCGTCTCTTCTCTCCTTCTCTCTCTTCTCTCTTCTCTCTCATCTTCTTTGTCTCTCTCTCACGAGCCCCTCTCCCACCTCTCTATGTTGTTGTTTCTGTCTGTCCTGTCTGGTCTGTCTCTGTCTCTGTCTCTGTTCTGTCCTCTCTCTCTCTCTGTCTGTCTCTCTCTCTGTCTCTCGTCTTTTGTCCTCGTCTCTCCCTCCCTCCTCCCTCTCCTGTGTCTGTTTTTTTCTTGTCTGTCTGCTGTCTCTCTCTCCTCTCCGTCTCCTCTCACCTCTCTCTTCATCCTCTCGCCTCTCTCTCTCTCTCTTCTCACTTTCTCCCGATCTCTCTCTTTTCTCTCTCTCCTTTATTTATTTCTCTTTCCTCTATNAAAGCATCACTATTACAAGGAGGTTGAAGTTTAATCACATCAGATCCAATTAAATAACGAAGACCATCAAAGTTTTGGACGTTCGGACAGGTATTTAATTTACCGAGAAGATGACTATTTGAACGGGACGGCCGCACCGCCTCCCGCCTGAGGCTGTGTTATCCTCCCGAGGCGAGCGCAGGCGACGGGCGGGGCCGCCCCCTCCAGAGACTTCTGTACGCCAAGGAAAATGTGAGACTTTAACATTTTATCATATCTGTTATAATATCTTATCCATCTATTTACACAATCTGTGTCCCTTCTATCTATGCACTCCATCTTGAACTTTATGTATCCATCGGTTTCATAGATAGATGACTAAGCGAATGAAGAAGAGCGGAGACAGCAGCCAGAGAAACGGCTCGAACGACAGACAGCCAGCCGAAGGAACAGACAAGCTTATTCACTCAGCTGTGTCATCGGCCTGATTGCGTATCCCAGCTGCCGCCCCCTCTCCCGGGGTCAACACCCCCGCCCTTACATATGGGCGGCGGGATCATTCTTCCGTGACCTTGAACCGCTGACCCTGAACGCGCGATGTTGTCCTGTGGACTAAACTGGGAGATCCTTTGCGGGAAAATATGCTCATCAATGTCGTTCGTTGCGCAATTCGCACACTTTGCCGGAGAAAGGGTTGGGCTTTGGCTTGCGCAGCCATGGCCCTAAAAAGGCGTTAATGGCTGCGAAGTCGTACTGATTACAGTCAAGAGTATCTGTCAACTGACACTTGGATGCAACTAATCAAACTGGGCAATTTGTTTTGGAAATACATAATGGTATTATTCAATTTAATTGCCAGTCTCGAAAATATTTTACTGTGTCACTATATACATGTATATAAGTGTGTATACATATATATACACAGCATATATATTAACATCAACGTCTAAATGTGTATTCATATCTATCTATCTCTTCCTTTATATGTCATCTATGAAATAACTATATAATATATATCATCATGCATATAAATAAATAATTACATATATGTATTATCTTATCATATATATTTTTATATATTATATATAACATATACAATAACATATATATTAGCATATATATACACTATACATATTATACATACATACTATACATATATATATAATTATATAATTTATATATATATATATAGTTTCCGATATACAACACACACACCACACACACACACCAAACACCACACACATTATATATTATATATAATATATATTATATATAATATAATTATTTATAATATTATTCATAGTTTTCCGATACACACACCCAACCACAACATTATATAATACTTATATATATTATATAATATATTATATATATATAATATATATATATATATATCTAATAATATTGCACACACAACACACACAATGAACACACACCACACGACACACCATATTAATATATATATATATATGAATTACTATATAATATATATATATATAAATACATTATATATATATATGTTAATTATGTATATGTATATAATATATATACTATATATATAAATACTATAATAATAGTACTTATTATTAATAAGTAATATATAATATATATATAGACAGAGAGAGAGACCGGAAGAGCCCCACCCCACGAGAAAAAAAGGGCCGGGCGAAGCAGATTTGACTTCGCCCAAAAAAAAATCTAAACTGAACTGAACGAGAGAGAGAGAGACCGGCACGCGACTCGCGGTGAGAGATGTGAGTGCCCAGGGACATAGGCGAGAAAACAAGCGGGTGGGGATCGACGAGCCCGGAGCAGGTCGAAACGAGGGCGACCGAAGGGAAAGTGGGAGGGCGAGAGACGAGGAGCGCCTAAGACGAGGAAACAACTCGAGGCGGCCAGATGAGATTGAGGAGGGGAGATGAGAAGAGAGAAGCGCGAAGAGAGAGCAGGAAGAAATGGCGTAGAGAGGAAGGAAGCAGACATAGATCGGGAGAGGGAGGCAGCGAGGAGGAAGAGGAGAGAGACGAGAGAGAGAGACGACTGAAGAGAGAGAGGAGACAGGATGAGAATGACAGAGAGGAGAGAGATGAGAAGAGGAGAGGTGAGAGGGGAAGGGAGAGAGAGGAGAGAGCATAATACACCATAAGCCAAAAAACACCAATATATATATTAAATATATTATAGTATATATAAATTATAATTATATAATATAATATATGTTAATTATATGTTATATATATATGTATATATATAATATAGAATAATATATATTACTAATATAATATATATATAGACGAGCGACGAGAGAGAGAAGAGGGGAGAAGCGAGAAGAGAGAGGAAGATACAGAATAAATACACACACACACAACACACACACACACATATATTATAACTTTAATAGTGTTATTTTTAATTAATTAAATATATAGATTATAGTATATATATATATTACAACTATATATATTAAAAAAAGAATATTATATATATAATAATATATAAAAAAAAAAAAAATAATTATATATATATTATCATTTAGATCATGATAGATAACATAAGATAGATACAGATTATACATACACAACACCACACCACAAAACACGCAACAGCAAATAAGCACGCATTGCACTTACTTGAACAGACTAAATATCAAGAAGGCAAACGTGCGACACACGCAAATACCACACACACAACGCAAAACAACAATAGAGGTGTGTGTATTATATATGTATATTCTAATTTTACTGGTGTATGTATCTATATATGTAATGTCGAAAGATGGAATGAATGCACATACCGCATGTAATGAGATAAATATCAACTGTTTACTATAATTATATATATAGTAT